ACAATAATAAAAAATAAAAAATAAAAAGTAATAAAATGAAAATAAAAGAACCATAGAAAAAGAAATTAAAATTTTTCCAAATCATTTCGAGTGAGTTGTATGATACATAAAACGCATGTTAAGTCCATCTCGATTCGTATTATCAATTTTAGGCGCTTCTATTTGTGAATCCAAATATGAAAAATTTTCTTTAGGCCTTGCATCTTTAATAAAACTAATTAATTAGTGTTGCGTCTTTAATAAACTAATTAATTAGTGCTATCGGTGCTTCCAATTGGCACTAATAAGGTTGTGTAATTTTAATCACATGAACAACCATCATTATAAAGTTTGGTCAATACTATTACATCGTTTAATTAAACGATATTTAAATAAATATCAAATATCACATGCAAAATTACATACAGAAACTTACATATTTGTGCATCAAGAAGTGACCTCAAGCGCGTCAAAAATGTAACTTTTTACATATTCATTCTTTATTTTATTTATAACGCACAGCAATACAACAACATAAAAAAGCATGATCAAATAAGCTAACTAAAGAAATGGATCAAATCACTATCTCTTGATAGTTTCTTTTGATATGTTTTTTTTTTTTACATATTATTTGAGTAATCCGTGAATTTACCACGAAACCCTGACATTGCTGACAAATCTATATTTTTTTTGAATTGTCTAGATGATTATTTTGTTTGCCCAGACCGGTCCGGACCAGTCTTTGAAAGGACCGATTTATGCTTACATCTAACCAGATTGGTTTTTAGAGTTTCTTATTAACATAATGATTAGTCAAAAAAGGATAAAAAAAAATTAAAAACACTTATTAAGTATTTACCCTTTATATCTTTAAATACAAATAGAGAAATTTATTTGATGTTAGTTGCTTCAGGGTAATATTTGTGTAAGAATTTATTTTTATGTAATCAACGAATAAACTTTTAATATATAATAAATTTGGGGATACGATCAAAAAAAGCCATCTGATATGGAAGATCTTTATGTAAATCAACAGGTGATAGTAAACGTGGTATCCTCGTGTTTCAAAATTTGTATTATGAAATGTAAACTATTATTGAATAATTCTACTTATTAATTTTGCATATTAAAATGTCACTAATTTTTTTCAATTGAATTTGTGATGCTAATGGTTTAATGGGTGGGTGATTTTTTTTTTTTTTAAATCCCTTGCATAAAAGTGCAAAAGTATATTTCTAAAGTTATAATCACTATAGTTATTGCGGTAATATATTACTTTTCTTTGGGGTCGATGTCTTTATAAGCTAAAGTTTAAGTAAATATATATTCCTAGTTTAAATTTTAGGTAAATCATTAAAAAAAGAATAATTAAGGATTTCCCAAATGTTAATTATCAAGCAGTTTAATGGTTACAAATAACTTAACATAAATCTCGTTAGTGTTAATACAGTAATAAATGTGAAAGTGACTGTTTTGGGGTACATTTAATCGGATGATGGTTGTTTGTGTGATAGAGACAGATTAATTTACTAATAATCGAAACATCTCTTCACCTGTATTGTAATATAAATCAATTTTTACAGCTTTGTACTGATATTTAACTTGTCCCTTGATATCTAATTGAAACACTAAAAAAAATTTTTTTTTTATCACGTCTCAAAAATTCTTTAGTAATTGGCGATTTATTTAGTCGATCATTATTTGTTTTTTGCCAAATAGCCACTTTAAACTATAGATCAAAGTTACTGGTTGTTTGCTATTCCACGAAAACAAAGCAATAGACTTAATTGGATGATTTACATTATATAGTTAATTTCTTATGATGGGCGTATTATTAAATGAGACGCATCTTTGCACCCTTGGCACATATTTACATGCATTTAATACGTTCTTAGTTTTTTTTTCTTGATGCATGTAATGCATGAATACTTTTATTTTAGTAACAGTAATGTACTGTACGTACGTACAGTACTTAATTTGTTGTAATTTTATTTATTGAATAAAGTAATAGCGTCATTATTGAAGTTAACTTTAAATACGTTACAGACATAAATAGAGGGTTCATTACAATATTACAATAAATAAAGTAATTAATTTAAATATACTCTATTCCCATTTTTTTTTATTGCTATGTAATACTATCATTATTATGGTAATTCATATTATGTAGTGCGGAATAACAATGGCTGGAATGTTTGGTAGATGTCATACGATATCTTGATTTTTTTTCTTGTTTATTAAATTAGTATATAGAAAACAATTTTTCTGGTCAGCTAATATTGTTCAGTACCTCAAAGATGATTTCCCATAAAAGTTATTACAATATATATATTTTTTTTTTCATCTAATTTTGTTGTAAACTCGGTATTCTTTAATTAAATAAAATACGTTGGTTTACTTTTTTGATTTGATGTCAAGAAAGTAAGAGATGATTGTTACAAATTGTATATGTATAAGCATGCGCATGAGTAATAAACAATTGTTTAGGAGGTAATAAGGCTCCAAATTGAGGATATATGTATGTCACTATTCATAAAAAGAAATAAAGAAAACCGATTTTTGGAACAGGTATATATTAAAGACGTTCGGTATTCGTATTATTCCATATAGTGTGTTGTAATACAATGAATGCTAGTTCGAGACCCAGGTATCAAGATGTCTCTCTTTCTTCATTATTATTTGTTTATAATATTTTTTTTTTGTATGTAAATATAAATATTATTGGTTCTTTTGTACATCTTTCCAAAAAATTGAACTGTACCCATTTTAGGTGCTTTAACAAACTTTACCACTAATGCTAATATTAAATGTGGTGTCATATTTTTTGAATTTTTCTCCGATCTTGTTTGTTACAATTATATTTATGGTTTAATATTTGTGTGTTAAAATTTGAACGTATATGATATTGCATATCTGATATGGACTAGGTGATTTTAAAAATGATTTCTTTTGATGTAATTTGTACTTTTGTGTATCGTGTATATTTTTAATAACAAAGATTGATGATAAAATTAAAAATCTTGTTTACGAATACAAAAAATCATTATCGTTATACATAAAACTTTATCAATTTCGGTAATTATCGAGAAAATTCTGAGTCACAAGCCTTAAAAGCATACATACCCCTTAGAGTCCTATGACATCAATAAAGTATGGGGCCTCATTGTATGCGCCTTTAGCCACATATTTAGGCAGGGACTACTCCTCCTGTACTATAAATATATATTAAAGTTTCAGTCACGAGTACAGATAATTAATATATCCTGACATTCGGACTAAATTTAAGCAATTATAGGCTTTTGATTTTTAAAAATACGAATTTAAAGCTTAAACAATGCAAGGGAATCTGTAAACGAGTTTATGAAAGACACACTGTGGGTATCTTTTTCTATTGTGTTTTTATAATTTTAATAATAATAATTGTAACTTTAAGCCATCAGGCGTTAATAATTCCTTATAAAGTTAAAGTCCAGGCAAAAAATTTAATCTAATACAGAAAAGTTTACATGGTTCCTGAAACCTGCATATGTACTATAAATATGGCGCATACTAATGGCGACTAGATTATTACATGAATATAGTTATTCACGTGCTTAACATTTATCGAAAATCAAAGTAAACGTGTTTCTATTAAATTCTATAAGGGGCTGTTTAACCATTTAATTTCAACTATTAAAAATTTCTTAATTTGTATTATTCTAAATTAAAAGACGCGCCTGTTCCTGGTTAATTTCGCACGCGTAGTTAGAACTTTGTCATATTTTCTGAATATTATATTTACCAGTAGCAATAAACCAATTTCTATTTTTAATAATAAATTATTGTTTGTAATTTGGATACCATAATGATACACAAACATTTTGTTTGTATAAACTAATATGTCTTTTATCTTGTAATCCGATCTTTACATTCTATTTATTGAAAGTTATTCGCGTACTCTCAACAATATCTAACAATTCGAACAATTCTAACGTATCTGATAAAGAAGATGGGAAAAAATCGTAGATCACATTCCCGATATATCTTTATAGAGGATATTTACAAGTAACGATGATCGGTACATTAATTAATTGTTTGGTATTTGTTTACAAACTTTGTCTGTTTATCATCTTGTATCGCAATCTGTATAATTCTTACTTTCTAAGAAAATTAACAAGCATTTTTAGAGTTTAGAATACAGGAATACAGGAATTTGGTGATAATTATTTATCGTTAAGTGCTGATTTTCACATGTCAGGTTTGGCAAATATCCACGTACGTACGTACCATGCGTATCTCATTGGTACTATAGGGTATGTATCTTTCTAAGAAGATTTGGAATTGAATATATATTATTCGCTTGATTTTGACTGGTACGTACGTATGTACATGATCCTTGGATATGCACATACTGCGTATTATTACGTAATCGTTGATTATTGACCATTTGTGGCTAGTGATTTGATTCAATTGGCCACAATTAAGGGTCCGGGCATAGTGCACGGGTATGCCCTTGAGGTCTAATATTTTGCCCGTGCCTCGGACACAGCCACATGCATCGGGTGGCGTGCATCTCACATTCCAAGCAACATAGTGTCTTCAAACAACTTTTCTTATCCTGCATCAACTGAAAACTGAAATGTTTTGATGAAGGATATATTTGTGCGAAATATTGTTTGTCCCCTTGTAGATTTGTGGTTTCCAAAAGACTAGTTTGGTTAATTTGTCTTTTAACTCAAAAGAGAGGCGTCTGTAGGGGTTTTTCCCTAGGCTTTGTTTAACAAGACTATTCTCTATTAGGAACAATTAATGATCACATATTTCTCATACAGAACTCTGTAATTTCGATTTGCGCACTAAAGTTTCATTTTGAATTTCACAATATAAAAATTCTCACAAGTTATTTCTAAGGCATTTCAGTTTGCATGCTATCATTAAAATCTTATCATATTTATGTTAATGCCTACACATACTTTATTAAGCGCAAGTCATTCAAAAAGATACACATTGTCTGAATTTGTCAGAATTATTTACTTAGTATATCAAAACTCAATAGTAGGACCTTTAACGCCTGCATCAAAATGTTTCTTTGACGGACGGACGCGACGCGATGCCTTTTTAGTAAAATGAATATATCGCCCTCGCTTGTTATCCGAAATCAATATGCGTACTATAATATAATAGCCTTAGTTAGAATACAAATGCTTCATTATGTTTCACTAAATATATGTACGTATTATATATATATACATTCATAATGAATAGCCACACAGCAATAAATTGAAAAAAAAGTTACGTGTCAAAAGAACCAATTAATAAAGCAAACAATTAAACGCGTCTTGGTTACATTTTTGTTTAATGATTTTCTAGTTGTTTTTGATTTTCGCTTGTTACATTTACTGTCACCAGTTGGAAACAAAGGATCTAGATCCATCGCTTTAATTAAATGTTGTGGCTTTGTTTGCATATTTTCAGGCGTTTTTTGCAATTCTGTTTATGTCAAAAAAAAAAGAAAGAAATACTGTTTTTGTTATTATGTACCCCTTAATTTTTTTTTTTAATTTATGTCATCTGCCGAAACGATCCCCTACTTCCTTTCATAAATAAATAAAGTTATCTAATATTCGGTTTAATCTAGAGTGTTACTCAGTTAGTTTATATATTTTTTGCTGTATTATTATTAAAAAATATTTTTTTGGCTGCATATATCAATATTTAAATCGGTAATACAATTATGATTTACACATATTATTAATAAGAATTACGGTAAAAAGCATGTATAGTACATAAAGGTTATCACAATACGGAGGTACATTAAGTAATTCCGATAAATGTTATAATATTACGTGTAATATACCTTACATACATATATATTTAAGTTTCATACAATGATACTTAAGTTCTAATATCTATCTATCTATCTATCTGATACCTGCGTAAATCCGGATGTACTGTTCTAAGCCCGCTTGTCGTGTCATCTTGGTACCAAAATTAATTCAGGAAATATTGGAATATTGGAATAAAACTGCAAAAATTACATGAAGAAAAAAATTATTAAAAATAATACTTGTATATATCTTAATATTTTATTTACTTCCAATCCTATCAACGCCACAAACATATACATACTTCAAAGTTATAGTAATAAAACTTTAAAATCATATTGATATACGCTATATGACGATAACTTTATATCGATCAATATCTTGTATCACATTTTGACATATTATGCATCGTACAAATATGCATTCCCTACGTACTGATATGCACATATATTGTACATATGTACGTTTTTGAATATTCGTAAGTTCATCTGTAATGCACGCGAGAATTGTTGCGATACATAAGTAACATACAAGAATGTAATAATTGCAGTAAAATATTAAATGCTTAGATCATAGATTGTCTCGGGTTAGTGGTTACTTGACCAAGATTAGTCATTATTATTGGATAAGTTGAAATAAAGTGTTTTAATCAAACAAGAAACTGCACACTTTTTTTTTAAACATTTAACTGAATATCTTAAAAATTTATGGCATAATCTAAAATACTGAGTTTTTCCCATTCGCATATTTAAGAAATTACGAGAACAAATCATAATTATCTAATTTATACTAATTTATAAATATGTAAATTCTAAATTTTCCTATTAAAACGCCGAATCTTCTTCAGCGGTTCTAAGATTAATTATGTGACACTTGTTGTTCTATTTGTCTATTTTATATGCTAAGTGGATTAAACGATGAAAATTGTGATAAAGAGCATGGGAATATCCAAAAATATCAAATAAATCATTTAAAATATCGTTCCGATCATATTTAGTACCATATATTTTTGACATGTATAAAATACTTTTTGATTATTATTATTTGGGTTATATCCGTTTTGTGTCATTTATAATCAATAATAAACTTTTTTTAATTATGTTTATATGTAAATATTTGAAAAAATATACAAATTTACATGCGATAAAATTTTTTCGTAAATATAAACAATCATCATATGGACAAAAACTTTTCGGTTAGTGGATATTATTGAGATATGCTTGGGATAGGGATTAAAGGATATAAGTGATAGCACAGTGTCATCTTCGAAAAAAGAATTTAAGGGATCTTAAATTTTTAAACCATGAATAAAAATTCACCCTATTTTCTAAAGATAACTTATGTGACCAAAAAAACGCATATTAGTATCTGATTATCTTAATATAAATTTCTAAAAATGAACTATCAAATGTGTATTAATAATTTGTATTATATTAGGTAAGCATGTAAATACTTAAAATACTTAATATATAGTAATCGTCTAGTCAGTATTTGATCGACATTTTTTAAAGAAACATTGATATTTAAAATTCTTTTTTGCAGTTGTTTACGGATAGGCATATTTAGTTAGTAAACTTTCATAATAGCGTTTTTATTACTAGAGCGCAGGGATGTTTTTAATCCCAACCGACATATTTACAAAATTGTCTGTTGAGCATTTTTTATTAAATGGGCTTTAATATCATTAGCGTAATTTTAAGACCCTGGCATTACAAATCCGAGAAGTTTTACTAAAAAGTTAGATTAAAAACAGGTTTCGCTATTATATAGGTTAGAAAAGTCTTTATCAATACAATAAAATTTAGATAATAAATATTATATATTTATATATATAATTTCATTGTTAATGCTATATATAGAAAATCCAAAAGCTTAAGTATTTTTTATAAACATTA